ATCTCCCAGGATCTCTCTCTATTTGTCTCCGTGCATTCCTCCACCTCTCTCTCCGACTCTCAGTCAATCCACCAGTCCCACATTCTGTTGAAGTCCGGATCCCGACGGACTTCGTATTTTTAGATATCCCCTAACATGTCGAGTTGGAGGAACCGGACAGCGGAAGCACTTCGGATTACGGCCTTGGCTACACCCACCTCGGAACTAGCCAGATTGTGAAATCGAGCAGCGGAAGAAGTTCGGATTCCGGCGAACTTCGCATTCTTATCTATCCATTGATGTGCCCGTCGATTGCTTATGTTGAAATCCGCAGGCGCATCTAAGGACCGATGACGGTCGGTCGAATACTTGAAGTTCGCCGGAATCCGGACTTCTTCCGCTGTCCGGTTTCGCGACATGTTAAGTTCGGAGGTAGACATGGCTAACGACCGTGATTCGACGCCCAGTTTGGAGAACACGTGACGTTCGGATGCGGGCGAACTTGTATTGTTGTCCGTATACGTGGTGCAACCCCAGACCACATTTCTGCCGAACCAGAACATTTGCGAAAACGTGAACTCCGTCGGGATCTGGACTTCAAGAGAGCGAAGGGCTTCGAGTTCGAAGACATTTGTCTCTCTCTCCAACGCACTCTCGCGAAGATCGGATTCCGGCGAACTACACGATCTCACCCCACGTACCACATGTTCGTGGCTCAAATGGTGGGCCGTCGATTTGAGAAATAGCCAAGTCCGCCCGGATCCGAACTTCACGGCATTCCGAAAAGGATTCATCGAACATGCCTACTCGAATCAGTTCTTCGAACGTTAGCCGCGTCTAAGAGCAAACGTCGCATATCGTGAAACAGAACAACATGCAAATTGCGGATGATCATCTGGTCTTCGCCTTTTCACCGGACCTCTTTGTTGACTGTGGTCGCCCAGGTGTCTTGTGAATTCTCGCACACTCGTTAAGTTCAGATCCCGGCGTACTTCGCATTTTCCCATGACCCGGGTTCTGACTGTGGTCTTTCTGGCGCCCCGTGGATTGCAACAAGAACACAAGTTCGCCCGGATCCGAACTTCGCTTTTTGCCCCGGCGTGCAAACCGTGATGGTTCTTCCAGGCCGCCCACCGAATGTGGGTTGTGTCCGCCCCCGGAAAGTAACACATCGTGAAACCGGAAAACAGAGCAAGTTTGGATGTTGGCGGACTACTAATTTTTGTCTACCCTCCAACGACGTCGTGGTTCTCCTCCGGCGCAGTGGATTTCACCAAACACGCAAGTGCAGAACCCGTCTCTCTCTCAATGACTCTCTCGCACCACCCTTGAGTTCGGATCCCGACAAACTTCATGTTTCCACATGCTCTTTGGACTGACTGCTGTCTGCCTTGTGGCCCTGGATAGGACCCGCATTCCCATCCAACCTCGAACGATTTGTTCAGCCTTGACTCCGAACAGTTTGACTACAAGGCAGCATATTCTACAGTCATCATTTGTTGGGTATTCAGGAATCCGGATGTTAAACGTGTCATAGATAATTCTGCTCGCGTAGGCATACACCCTTAGTGCGAGTTAGGAGGGGAGAAAATGTCGTCTGATCAAGGGCAAAAAAGGCAGTCACACCCACACATCAGGCGGAGCTGCACGCCCGTGTGCTTGTGCACTACTTGGGAGCATGTAAACAGCTTGTGAATATTCAGTTCGGGACGTGACGAATGGGTGTTGCCGTCACCACGGGAGTTATCGCTTGCCAACTCCGTTCACGAGTGTCTACATTTCCGTATGTGTCGTTTAATATGTGTGTGTGATGTGTAGGGCGCATAATGTCGTTGAGAGCATCGACAAGCAGGGGCATGCGTCCCGAGATGCACATGCATTTAGCTGAACCATTTCCTCCTTGTGCGAAATCGGTGCGGCGTTGTGACGGTCATGTTTCGATCGATGGAGCAACCATAAAGGACTTTGAAGAGGACCCGTGGATGACCGTCGTCCCGTTCTTGAACCGGCATCTCGACGATTGGTGCGAGGGTGATTGAGAGACGATGGAGAGTGCCTACCCTTGGACGAGCCATTACAAGTTTGCCAACATGTTAGAGTTCGGGAACCTCATTGCACTGCCTGATGGTGTCCTTGAGCACAAGTTCCTGAACCGTATGCGCAAAACACTCCGCTGCATCAGCCGCGATTTCAATCGCCTCGTCTGCCACTACATCAGGTCTTCGCCACGAACTTGGGGAAGGTAGCAGAAAGAAGAGTTGGTGGACTGCGCTAGTCATTGTTCATTCTTGAAGCAGTATCCACTCCGTTACCCCGGGATTTCTCCACAGGCTGTGTCGTACTGTTGTGTGCGGTTGACTGTGTCCGGATCTGATTTCGCCAGAGTATTATGTGTCGCCACTTCCGACAAAAGTAGGAAACTCGTCGATGCAGTTGTGCATATGTCACGCAATGAGGTGGTAATTGAGGGGTTCAATTTCGTGCCTATGCGTGGGCGTCCTGATGTGGATGGGTGGCCAGATTTGGTAATAGCGGGCATGGTCGAAGACTTTTCGTTGTGGCGTGAGGTGGAAGAAAAAGTGTCTGGCATACAAGACTGTATAGGGAACTCATTGGTACGCCTGAGTGTTTTTGTCAGGATGAAATATATGTCCGTCTTTTCGGAGAGCGCCACAGTCGAGGAACCGCGGATCCACGTATACGGATCATCAATGAATGCTATGTATGGCTTCGGTCCACGAACTCGTCCGCGGGAAACCCCTAATGGCACTGGATCCGGACGGGTGGTCAGACCCCGTGTTTGAGGGTGAAGGAGCGGGAGGTGTGAGAGGCATGTGTGTAGCCGAAAATGGTGAATATGAAGTACTGGACAGAGGTGTGAGAGGAGCAGTTGCCAGTGGATGCTACACCGCGCACTTTAGGTGCTAATCCCGAACAATTCTCTGCCACCCGCTTTCGTCTAGCCTCCAACGACGGAGTGGTTTTCCTGCTGCGTGCCCTCGTGAAGTGCGGATCCCGGCAGACTTAAGGTTTCCACCTTTCATGCAACGTCTCTCTGGCCCGCCCGGATCCGAAATTCGCTTCCGGACTTAACATATTGTGAAACGTGAGAGCGGAGCGATTTCAGGTGCTGGCGGATTAGGCATTGTCGTCTTGCCTCCAACGTCACCGCGGTTTTCGTGCTGCGCCGTGGATTTCGCCTGCCACGGAAGTGCAGATCCTGTCTCTCTGTCTCTATCTCCCTGTTGCGTAGTTCGGATCCCGACGAACTTCGTCTTTCCACTTCCCCTTTGATCTGACTGTGGTTTACCTTGTGCCCCTTAAGTGCGGATCCAGTTTTTCTCTATGTCTCTTTCTCAAGAAGGCTCCTTAAGTTCAGATCCCGGCGGACTTCGCGTTTTCTTCTGCCGTTCAGCTGACACTGGTCTTCCTCATAACCCGTCGACTGCAAGAACAGGCCTAGTTCGCCCGAATCCGGACTTCTCAGTTTGCCCGAACAGGGTCAGAGAACATGCTGGCCAGGCTCCTGCTTTCAACTGGGCTCCGTCGGGTGCCATAGTGCACAGAGCGCCACAATGGACAGCAGACGAAGTTCGGATGCCGACGGACTTCTCATTTTGAGGTGGCCTTTGATGTGAGTTTGGACTTCCTACATCCTCGTCGAGTTTAACATCCACGGAATTGCAGATCTTGTGTCTCTTTCACCGTCTCTCTCTAACGCACAGTCCTTTAATTCGGATCCCGACGAACTTCTCGTTTTTGGTTGTGCGTTGGTCTGTCTGTGGTCTTCCTGGTGCCCCGTCGGCCGCATAAACAACGTTTGATCCCCGGCGCACTGCGAGTTTTTACTGGCTTCTCTCTCGCTCTCTGCCTCTTGGTCTCGTACCCTCTTGAAGTTCGGATCCCGGCGAACTTCACGTTCTCACCGTTTCGAATTTGGGTTCCGGAGGGTCTTTGTGTGCAGATTTCACTGCGCCAGAGCTTGCGTTGTGGTGTGGCAGCGATTGTTCTGTTGCTGCTGTGTTTTGCCATACGTTGACTGCATGGTGCGTTGTTTGATTTGCGTTGTCGTTCGCAGACAAGATGTCTTCTTCGAGGGGCGAGGTGGAGCCAACAGGGACCTCCGGGAGGGAATCGGGAAAAGATTCCACGAGGCGAAGTCGAAATGGTTCATCGATTGGTGATGTGGAGACGCTTCCAGCCCCACTGCGCAGCCATGTGGTCTTGTCATCTTCGTCGATGACAACAAAAGGCGTAGAGTGGTTGGGGCCGTCTTGCGGTGGGAGGACATGAAGGGGGGCCGACGACATTTTTATATGCAAAACGTTTATGGCCCCAAGGGCAACGTCGTTGCCAATTCGAAAGGGGCGCTGTTGGACCTCGAATTGTGTGAGGGGTTCGGAGCGGGTGCTGTGAACACCCCGTTCTACAGAGAACTCGTTCTCGGGGGCGGTTTTATTTTGGCGCGTGAATTTTTCGACATGTTGGAGGACAAGAACATGATTCTCGACGTCCCCTGCGACGTCGGCCCCTCCCAAGAGCTCTCGTTGCCATTACGGTTGTGCGGCGGTTGTGAGTCAAGCGGGGCAGCGGCGGAGGGCGGTGATCTGGGTTCTGCTCGCTACTCAGCTGCACCGTGGCGAGAGCCGAGGTCAGTTCGACGACAACGAGGATGAGGGGCGTGCTCCGCCGTTGAGGGACACGCAACGGTCTGTGTTGTCTATTCCTGGGGTCCTGACTGACGCTCCGGTTCGACAGGAGAGTACGGCACCTGCAGGAAAGGTGGCAGCCTCTTTGAAGGTTGACTTGGAGACGAGCAAGGGCCTGGGTGTGGAGGAGGGAACCGCGGGTGGCCTGGGCACGCAAGGCACTCCACAGAAGAGGAGGGGGGATCGTACAGACGAGTTCGCCGGTTCTTCGAAGAAATTAAAGAGCAAGGCCCCGAGGTTGCGGGGGAGAAACGCAAGGGGTCCGAGGGAGAGCAGGGCCGGCAGGGTGCCAAACGTCCGGCTTCGAAACAGAAGCAGCCTGCATTTGGACCATCTTCTCCACCGACGCCAAGGCCTCCCATCGACGTTGACGCCTTGTACTTCCTCGAGTACAAAGACGGCGTTCGGACAAAGCGGGAGTTCGAGATTAGCCCTGCGCAGGTCGTCGACCTCGGGGAGTGGGAGGACCTGTACAACCAGCGGTCCCTGGATCCCGTGCTCGTGGAAGGGATCAAAGAAGCGATGCGGTTGGCGATCGAAAACAAAGAGCAGTCTTACGAGTTGCCAACCCTGAAGCTGGCACCGCTGAGGCTTGATAAACCGACTATCGGGACCAAGGCACAACGTCTGAGGCTGGAGGATTGGAGGGATGATCTGGCGGGACAATACTACTACTACGCGGTGTGTGGGCAACACAACGCGGCTGCAGCGAGGTCGCTGCTCGGCAGCGTGGTGACTAGAAAGTACAATTTCGAGTGGTGGTCGGCACGAATGGTGTACTTTTCGGAGTACGACTTCGAAGGGTACTTCCTTGTCAGTTCCTAGGACAACAAGAAGGACGTGAAGGCGCACCCGAGACAGCTAAAGCTGTCAATGAAAGACATTAGGTGGCAGTGGAAGCGCAACGGTTGCCCGCGGGCTGTTATGGGGAACCCCAACGGAAAACAGGATCAGGTCCGGAAGTGGCGTGAATTTTGTAATGTCGCGCTCGATATGACGCTGCACAACAACTTGTGGATTCTGGCAGATCAGAAGGGCGAGGACGCCATCAAGAAGCAAGGCGCTGCCCTGCGTTCCTATTTCCCACTGGCGATGGCAGGGGAGAACGTCTGGAAACTGGCCGTCGAGTTTTTTGAGAAATGAGAGACAGGTAGATTGCTCGGCCACAACGGCGCAAAGTGGATCATGCGGAAGAAGAAAGTCAAAAACGTGAAGCCCGGGGCTGCCTACATCGACAACGACAAGCTGGGCAGGAAGGAGGTCGAGTACAATGTCCCTGTGGACCTGCCAACAAAGAAAGGCAAAAAGGAGAAAGAGGAGGGCGACTAATTCGTGCAAGTGCCTGAGCCGGACGCACATTGTTGAAAAGCGATGGAGTCGCTAACCGACAACGAGAAGTGTTGTGTCATGAAGAAGGTGCTCGCTTGCGAGGTGGTTTGGGTCGAGGCCGGCTCCCTGGCGTTGGTGAAGCTCGGAAAGTTGAGCGTCTAGGAGATGGTGCATTTGGTGAAGTGTGACCGTGTGCTAGTGCGTCTGTGGAACTACTACCAGTTCAGGCACGACAAGAGCCCGGACGCGGATTGGAGCCAGAAGTGCCCGTTCCTGAACATAAGGTTCACAATTTTCAAGAAGTTCGAGAGCCGTGGTTTGGATACTGAGTTGTGGGACGACAGCAGGAAATACGTCATTGACTCCTCGTTGTTCAAGGACTGCCCGCCTTACATGGGTTGCGACGCCGACCAATCGATCCAGGCGACGGAGAAGTTAGCCGGTCACAAGAAGTTGTCCGTGGACTGGAGGAATAAGGTCCTGTCCGTGTTGACTGGCAGTAGACTAAAGAGTCGCGAGATCGCGCTTGCCGAAGGCATTGTGCACATAAAATGGAAAGACACGGGCGACGTGACATCCATCGCGTCGTTCGACAACGACCCCTTGGAGGCGGACATCAGGAGTGCGGAGGTGAAGGAGGCAGTGGTTGCCACAAAGAGCCACACGTTCGTCCTCGATCTCTGCGAACCGGTGGACCTGAAGCTGTGGAAATCGCAAGCGTTCGACAGTCTGGATTCCCAACTTCAGATGTGGTGTCCGTCGCATTGGACGCTCGTCGTTTTCGTGTCGCGCCAACAGAACCTCTCGTTTCTGACCAGCATGAACCATCTTTCTTTCGTAAAGCTGCTGGAAGGGAAGTGGGTGAGGAGGAATCATCAGAAGAAAAGTTTCCCCGTCGGGAACAATTTGTACACGGAAGACGATCGGATGTACATCCTCTTCAAAGGTGACGAGTTGCGCACTAACACGTCCATCGTCTACGAGGGGAAACTGGTGGCAGGCAATGCTGCTGCAGTGCGGCTGCCACAGAAGGTTACGCAAATGGATGTGTCCGACATTCCGTTCAACCCTTGCGACTGGTCGCATACCTCGCCTGCACGTCGGGGCAGTGTGTACGGGGACATGGAACGCAACCCCGCCCAATTCGTCAATCTTCTTGAATCCATCAACAAGAAGGGGGAGGGTGTAGTCTTCCTTGGGAAGCCACACGCGCGATCCGTGTGGGAACTACTGAAGGCAGGACGACACGTCATCGCGATGGAAGGGAACGCCGACCTGTTGCAATTTGCAATTGATCTCGTCAAAAGCGAGGTCAATTCAGGTGCCCACAATTGCGAGTTCATGGTCGTCAACGGGACTCGGGCTCACACGTGGAACAACAAGACGGACATATGGTTCAAGTTGATTGCGAGGAAGCGGAACAAGATATACGACTTCTTGCTCCTGCAAACGCGGCCGAAGAAGGACACTGACGCCGAGTACGTGCGCCGCAAGGACCACATGTTCACGCTGCTCGACAACTACCACGGCGCCTCCCGTATGAATGGGAAGACCTTCCTCGAGAGGTTGCAGTCCCTGTACTTCGTGGAGTCAGAGAAGGAGTTGACGTTCGACAGTTACTCTTCCTTGATCTCCACGGAAGACGAGGAGACCACCGGCATCGAGTTCGACGCGAATGTGAACGAGGAGGGCAGCGACACCGAAAGCCTCAACCTGCAATACTACCCACATCCCGCGCAGCACGCTACAGGGTTGTCCTTGGAAGGTCCGTCAACAAGCCCGACATCCCTCGTGTCACCGATGGTGAAACAGGCGCCTGACACTACCCCGATGAAGTTGCTGGAGAGACTGCAAGCTCTGGCCTCCGACCATCGCACACTGCGTCCCGGGTCTGACATCCCGCCCGATCATCTGTCTTGGAAGAATGACAACATTCACTTCCTGCCTGAGCCTCAAAGTCATTCCCCTGAGGTGGACTGGGGCCATGACATGATTTGGCATCCAGGAGTCATCCAGCCAGCGATCCGAAAGGGCGACTGGATCATGGACGTCGCTGTCCTGGGCGGAGGATGGATGCCCCTCCCTCGCGGGTCGAAGTCGAACTTCCTCGACGTCTCTAGAATTGCAGTGCTTCAAAAAGTGAGGGCCGAGAATGACTCGTTTGCACCCAACGACGTGTCCGTCATTTCCACAGCTGGGCGATTGTTCAACGAACTTCGGGACAAGCGCTGGTTGGAACTGACGGAGGACTACTACGACCTCGATACGATTCCCTCGAAGGGAAGGGTGGACTGGAAAATCCCACCTCCAGGTGGGACGCATGTGAGTTTGGGGCCCGAGGATCAGACGGTGGGGAGGACGAGGGCAACAAGGTTGAGGGTGGCAAAGGAGTCCCGCCTGGTTCGGAGGGCGGGTCTCACGGCGACACCACGACAGTGGAAGGCAGTGGTGGGGTGGCGGGGGAGGCCTTCGGGCGTCAGCAGTCTACCGGTCCCGGTCCGGAGGCCTCGACACAGTCCGTCGTCGTGCCCACTTCCGGCTCGGTGATGGCAGCCTTGGTTGCTCTCCGTGGCGGCTCGGGCGAAACGCGCAAGTCCGCCGTGATCCGAACTTCAATGCTTGCGGAGCGGACACAGAGGACGGACGCGCAGAGCTGGTCTAAAGCGGGGGTGTCGAGTCGTGATCCCAAAATTGACAGCGGTGAGGTGAGGGACGGGAATGCGCCGCCTGAGGGGGATCGACGACTGCTTCGGTCGGAGTGAGGGGGTACATGTGGAGGGCCCTGCGACAGGAAGACGGCGAAGTTCGCCGGGATCCGAACTTCTTCAGGCAAGGGGGGCCGACCAGGGATTGCGGTGCCGGCGGGAGGGGCTGCGTGCGTGGAGCCAGAAGGGCATTCGTCGGAATTCGACATGGGTTCGGGCGAAGTGGCTGGATTGCAAGGGACGGAGGCAGGGTAATGGACGAAGAGAAGGAAGGAGAGGAAGGAGACAAAGGGGAGGAATGGGAGGAAGGAGGGGACGAAGGGGAGGAAGAAGAGGAGGAAGGGGAGGAAGGGGGAGAAACGGAGTTGGGTGAGTTGTTCGGAGGGAAGGAGGGGGGAAAAGGGGAAGTCGGTACTGGAGACGACGGACGGACGTTCCGCGACGACGATTCCGGATCTGGGGAGTCGTCTGACGGATTCCGGCAGCTGTACGGAGAACATCGCGAGGAAGACGACGACGACGATGACACGACACAGGTGGTTACCAGCCTTTCGGCAGAGCGTGATGACTATGAGGGCCAAGCAATGACGTCTGTCGTTGATCTCCAACACCGGTTCAACGAGGCTCGTGTTGCTGTCAGCCTGTCTAAACCGAGTGTCTGTATAGACGTCGAAGAAGTTATCGATGGCATCCTGGGTGACCACCACATGTCCGCGCAGCCGTCCTCGACGCCTGATGTCGACGACCCTCGCAACATCAAACCTTCCGCGACATCTGCCGTGGCTTTCTCGCCGCCGAACTCTCCGATACTGCCACCGACCATCGCCAGAGGAGGGGAAGGTGAGATCGGGGGACGACAACATGTCACGTCCCCGAAAAAAACTAGGGTTGGCACTCAAGCTCTCGACGTGCTGGCCTTGCCCGCGCCAACTTCACCGATGAAGGAGCGGAGGGACAAAACGGTTGGTAAGCTGTGACAAACGCCACTCTGTCTGCGCGCCCGGCCTCCCAAGAGCGAGAGTGCGGCTTCCTTCGTAGTCCGGATCTCGGCGGCCTAGGTTCAGTACCATAAACAAAGGGAGTGACCGCAGTTTCTGCCGATGCGGGGAGTTCCTGATGCCGGCATACTACAGACACCACTCCTTCCAACTTCCAAGTACATGTGAACGACCTTCCTGTGAGTCGGCCAGGTCATTTGTCGTGTGCAGGGCATACGAGACAAAAACATGTGTGTTTTTGTTGAAGCGTTCCCTCACAAAATGGAATGATGGTGTTTCTTTTTCGGAATGAGTGGTGGTTTTAGTCCGCCGGGATCCGCACTTCCAAGGCCGATGCGTAATGTGGTTACTCTTTGTGTGCCTCGATTGGAAAAAGTCCGCCGGGATCCTGACTTCGGAAATATTTGGCCTCCGCGTTTGTGGCTTGTTGTGGTTTTCCCTTCTGAAGGGCGGGGGTGTCGAGCGCGAACGCACTACTCCTTTTGTTTTTCAGCGGGGCTGGCGCAGAAGTCTTTTCTCTCTCTCATGGTTAAACAGGGTTCTGTAATTAGATAGGTCCTGCGTCTTTTACATTTCGTGGTTCTTAAATTGTCATTTTCGTCGGATTCGTCTTGGAATACGTATATTCATTTTTCGTTTTGTCTTCCTTCGGTTGTACAGGGGTAGGGTCATCTCCCTGGATTGGAAAAAGTCCGTCGGGATCCGAACTTCGGAGATGTTTGGCTTCCGCTTCTGTGGCTTGTTGTAGTTTTCCCTTCTGAAGGGCGGGGGTGTCGAGCTTGAATGCATAGGTCGTTTTGTTTTCCAGCGGGACTCACGCGAAAGTTCTCTCTCTCGCAATCTCATGACAAAACGGGGTTCTGTAATTGCATAGGTCCTGCGTCTTTTAGATTTCGTGGTTCTTTAATTGTCCTTTCGTCGGGTTCGTCTTCGGAAACGTGTATTCATTTTTCGTTTTGCCTTTCTTCTGTTGTACAGAGGTAGGGTCATCTCGAACACGGAGGCCCTCGAAATATCCGGAACACATGTTGCACACAGTCCCGGGGTTGAGGACAAAACACAAGGACATGTTAAAGGCGTCAGGGGTTGATGTCGAAATCGGGAAGAAGGAGCATGCCATTGCCATTGAGAAGTGTCTTTTCCTTCTGCCCCCAGAGAAAGAGACATATCCACGATCTATGACTAAGGGTCAGGCCATGTATGAGAAATACTTAGCTACTCGTCGTGCGATGAAGGAGAATCCTTAGAATTCTGTTTCTCACATCCCCCCCTGTCCTTTGCTCGATGTTGTGCAGTACGGGCAATGACACCTGGAACAGGCTGGGGAGGATTTACTGCAGTGACTGCGATTGGAAGCTTGCGGGTTTTGGACGATATTAAACGAGGCTTGGTGCCACCTAACACTGTTCTCTCGACCCTCGACGATGGTCAGTTGCGAATTGAAGCAAAAGATATTCTCACCCTCTCGCTTACCAACAGCACGCTCATGGCTCATGGACGCAACCAAGTTTGAAACGGAATGTCATCATGTGAGAGTTGAGCCATGCATCATGATGTGAGTGAGACTTGCTCAAACACATGCTCATGGCTCATGAATGTCATCAAGTTTGAAACGGAATGCCATTATCTGCTATGTGAGTGGAAAGCACAAGCTAGGCTAGTTCAAAACACAAGTCTTCAACATGAGATCATCCACGGAAGAATCGGAGCACTTCCTACTAGCATGTGAGTGAAAAGCAAGAGATATTGTAGACCAAATCACAAGTTTTGAGCATGAGATTATCCATGGAAGAATCGGAGCACTACCTTCTAGCATGTGAGTGAAAAGCAAGAGATAGAGTAGACCAAATCACAAGTTTGGAGCATGAGATCATCCATGGAAGAATCGGAGCACTACCTACTAGCATGTGAGTGAAAAGCAAGAGATAGAGTAGACCAAATTATAAGTTTTGAGCATGAGATTATCC